GAGTAACAGAGGAGGACGCTGGGACAGGAGGAGGTGCGGAGGGTCTTAGTAACAGAAACTAAGCATACCAAACCAGTTATTGTCATTCATCACAAGGATTCAATTTGGTGAATTTCATTTATTTTGTTTAGACTGATACAAACAGAGAAGAGATTTTAGAATCACAGATTTGATATTTTCTCTGCATTCAACACATTTCTGTTCTGGTTGTTACTGATAAACATAAAAAGTTGAACGCATCTTTTTGGTCACTGTGTTCTGCTGCCACCTGCTGACAGAGTTGGATTTTACGCCATAATGAAAGTTTTAGAATAAAATCTTTATTTCATAGACTTGATTAATCAGATCTTTATTTGAAACAATCAAACTTGATTGATTTCTCTTTGGAAATGTGTTTCCATCTAGTCAGCTGTTAGTGTGTCATGTGACTCTTTTATAATCGGAACACGTGGAAGGTCACAGTGGATCTTTAAAGTGTGATGAAGAGGAGGAACGTCGGGTCTGAGCGACCCAGGAAGCAAAGGCTGAGACTCGAGCATAGACTCCGGGTTTCTGAGGAAGTCCACAGCCTGCGCCAAATGAGGTCACACCTGTGAGGAACCAATCAGAGAGCAGCGTTCCGTCAAACCTAATGTGAGGCTTATATCTATATTCTGTGTGTGTGTGCGTGTCTGTGTGTGAGACACCAACCAATCAGAGTCCAGCTTCCATCATCCAGACACATCAGAGGACCACCAGAGTCGCCCTGAAAACACCACATTTAAACTTACACACTTACAGCTTACAGACCATCAGCACAGAGAGCACAGCCTGAGAGTCACATCCATGTTACAGGTTCATCCTTTACTCAGTACGACATGCAAAAGAATCAGAATCTGAACACTTTATTAATCCCTGAAGAAATGATGTGTTTACAGTCACTCTGAGACGATAAGAGGAACAGGCTGAATTATATAATACAATGTGTTATAACGTTACAAAATATAAGAAAGAGCTCTAATATATACAAATAAGTCAATTATAAATATCCAGAATATTACTGTGTGACTGACATTTGACTCTAACCTGTAAAACTTTGTTATTTTACTGTGGAGCGTGTGCAGATAGTGAGGTTGTAACTACTGCACTGTGTGCTGTGCATTAGATGGAGGAGTTGTACAGCCACTGGCAGGAATGATTTCCTGTGTTGTTTAGTAGTGTATTATGGGTAATCTCAGTCTCCCACTGAGCGTGCTTCTGTGAGTGGCCAGCATGTCATGGAGTGGGTGGGAGATCCAGCATTGTCCTTATCTTGGACAATATCCACCTCTTAGACACCACCCTAAGGGAGTCTGGCCCCACAACGTTACTAGGTTTGTGATCAGTTTATTGAGCCTGTTGGCATCGGCGACCCCCAACTTGCTGCTCCAGCATGCAACAGCAGAGAGGATAGCACTGGCCCCAACAGACTCATAGAAAATCCTGAGCATTGTCAGACAGATGTTGAAGGACTTCAGAGAGTCTGGCCCTTCCTGTATAGTGCAACGGTGTTTTAAACCCAGTACAGTTTGTTATCTACGTGTGCTCTAAGGTATTTATAGTCCTCCACCATAAAAGGGGGTCATACGTTTGCTTGTCCTCCAAAGACTGAACTATACAAACTGAAGTGAATGCTGCAGTACTTCTGTATAAAGAACTGCCGTTAGGTTCAGACGCTGCACATGTACCTTCATCTGTCCCTGCAGTCTAAAGAAGAGCTGAGGAGGTGACATGCAGAGTGTGTTGTTCAGATATGAATGGTGTCCTCCTTTGGTGTACAGTAACCTGATGACATAGGGTGGATGTTTAAGGGTTTCTGACTCAGCCCAGCACAGAGTAACCACCATTCGGGTGGATACAGTGGGTGAGAGTGTGTAAACATCTGCATGAGCTGAATAATGAATTTGATATTGTAGGAAAGTTTTTTTTGCATGAGTTTGAACTATCTGAATGGTAAGTACTGGGTAACACCTTCTCCTCTGTCAGTAAGTTTTCGTCAGTGAGCTGAGAGTCATTCAGGGTCTGTTTGGAGGGCTCTGGTTGGTTCTTCCTGATAAAGGCTCTGAGTTCTGGTCACTGATTAAATTGATGATGTTTAGTTCAGGACCTCTGAGGGTAAAACCTTCATTCTTTTAGCTGGTTCACCTCAGAGGTTCTTCTCACCTGTCTAACAGCCCTCCACCTTATTCTCTGTCTCCACCTGTCTACTGAGGTGATGAAAACTCTTTTTAAAGTTTTTACAGCTTCTCCTACTCTGCGACACTGAGTTGAATGTTTGTGCTGTTGTTGGAGTCAGAGGATCTAGAACGTTCCTAGTTTTGAATAAGCTGAAGCTTTAGGCCTAAGACTTTAAGCTCTGATCTTTTGGTGCCCAAACTTTAGCATTACCCTGTCTGTGTTATGGTGGATGTTTGGAGTCCAGGTGAGAGGTTACCTGACAGGAGTCGACCCCTCCCTCTTGGTATCCGGCACAGAGCATGCTGGAGGTGATGGTGTACTCGGGTAGCTGCTGTTGACACAGATCCTGATCCACCAGTGGAATCTCGGCTTCCTGGAGAACATCGGGGAGAGAACCTGAGAGAGAGAGATAGGAAGTGAGAGTGACTGCTAACATGGACTCTACAATAAAGATGACTGCAGTGGTGTCATCCAGTGGTTTTCAAAGTGCAACAGCCCCAACATTTTGGGGGGTTTTTGCTTCAGAGAGCAGACATATTTGTACAAGAGGGTAGCGTGTGTTACGGAATAAATATATATTCTTAGTGCTTATTTTCTGTTTATATTGTTTTATAGAGGCCAGTATAGAAGAAACGGCACTTTGAGTTATAATGTGTGGTAAAGGTCACAGAGTACTGTGTAAGACAGGAAACTCTGCACGCTTTGTGCAGGCCTGCAGAGTACAGGAAGTGAAACTAGGTAGAGTGCAGAGCAGGAGTTGTTTTGATCGAAACTATGTGTGACTATGTGTGACGTATAACAGAACTATATTATACGCATTTGGCTTGTAATGCTATAGATTTGCTCAGGATTTGGCCTGTGCTCATCCCTTTCCGGAAAGTAATGCTTGAATAAAATAATAATTATTTTTGACCACACTGAGTCGGAGTCTTTCTCTGTCAGTAAAAGAATATCAAAGAACTGAATTTGATAATTGGTGCTGTGAACCTGGATTCTTTTATGGCAGAGAGGACAAATTTGGTCCAAGGTGGGATCGTGAAATGAGGCGAACAGAGGACCGGTCCAAATGTAAAGGTAGGTAATTTAATTAACATTTTAATTAATTAATATTTGTTTTTTAAAAAAAAAAGCAAAGTGTGCGTATTGGATGAATTCTAAATTATCTGTTCACCGAGTTAATGATCTTCACCATTAAATTGGCTCAGTAGTGGTGAAATTAAACTAAATTATAAAATTGTTTCAGTAGATTTCTGGTAAATGTCCATGGTGATTTTGGGGTAATTTGTGACAATAAAAGTAAAGTCTGGGGAAATATCTAATGAAAATTTATTGCTGTTAATGTTGGGGTAAATTTTAAAGTTGATGGGTTGTGTGTAATGTGAATTGTGTTGTGTCAGCCAAGAAAAACAGATTAGAGTAGGGAATTGAGCATTTGTTTCAGGGTTGGTCCCTTTTGGTCAGAAGGCTAGGCCTGGACATCAGTAAACTGGTGGTTAGAGTCCCAGTTAAATTAATTTCAGGACTGGAGTGGGACTCCTAAGAGTGCACACAAGTTCAGGGGTGAGAACCCCCACTTTGTTTTGGATGCAGGGCAAGGTCCTGCAGCGTCAGGTCATCTCAGTTAGCCACTGCCAAGACTTAGGACTTTGGTTAACGGCCAGTGGTCAGGGACCACTTTCTGTGCATTGTTTGAGTGAAGAGGCCGGGCCTCAGGCGTGACCACCTCAATGTAGAGTGGCGGGTGAAGCGAAGAGAGCCGAGAAAGTAAAGCTTCCGGTCAAGCTGTGGGAAACGCTTTTAAATTAATATAGGACTTAGAAATCTGGCCCCTGTCCGGGACAGAAACGGGTTAATTGATCAGCAAGGTGAGTGTGATGGCTGCACTTACAGCCACACAGTGGTAATATCACCATGTTAGTGTAGAGGCTTATAAGTAATATTGCATTCACATTTCTTTCTTTAAATATAGGAATTTATTTACAGAACAATAAATAACTGGTTTTGGTTTAGAATTCATTCACATATCCACATAACACTGCATTCTAAAATAAGTGCGCACATTTTAGTTTACACTGTTATGTATGATTAATCTTTTGTTTTCTGAGTTACC